GGAGCCTGTGCGCTGGTGGGGGAGAGGCCACAACAGTGAGAGGCCCGCGTACCGCAAAAAAAAAAAAAAAATTAAGTATTTTTGTCACTGATTTTGCATATAACCTATGCACATCCTCCTGTATACTTTAAATCATCTCTAGGTTTCTTATATACCCTAATACAATGCAAATTCTATGTAAATAGTTGCTGGTGTGTGGCAAATTCAAGTTTTGGATTTTGGAGCTTTTTGGAATTTTTTTTTTTTTTTTTTTTTAAATTTTTTGGCCATGCCGCATGGCCCGTGGGATCTTACTTCCCCGACCAGGGATTGAACCTGCGCCCCCTGCAGTGGAAGCACGAAGTCTTAACCACTAGACCGCCAGGGAAGTCCCTGTCATTGATTTTGAAATGCACCTAACGTCACCCTTCCCCTGTTGTTCCAGAAGACTCAAAAGTCAGAAACCCTCATCAGGCCTCGCGAGAAAGAAGCCTCTGTGTTGCTCTGTGGGGACACCCCTGTCTCATCCCTCCCCCGCTGGACACTGAGTGGCAGACAGAGCCTCTGTATTCTCAGGGGCTGGCACATGAGTGGTCAGTGCTTGCTGAAGAATGAACTGCACTGAATTACTTATCATGTGCTATTATGTTTTAAATTATAAAAAACAGGCCATTATAAAAGAGGAGAAATCTAGGTGTAACTCTAGGTTCCACGTTAGAAGAAAAGGTTATCCACTGTGTGAACTAGTCATACTTGATGACAGGCCCTGCTACTTTCTCCCCCTGCCCACTTCCTCCAAGAACAGGGTTTTCAAAGAAACCTTCCTAAGTGAGAGAAAGCTTAATCACAGCAGTGCTAATTATACAGGGAAATCAAGGAGAACACTCAGAGGGAAGCTTGTGTGACTCACTCAGCAGGGAAACCAGCTCCCTGTATACCTTTGGTACATTTACCTTTATTACATCAAAGAAAGTTTCCCCGTCATTCAGTGGAGGAGGGAAGGAGGAGAGGGTGTGGGCAGCTGCGTTTTCTCTAAGCTAAACCAACCTGTAATCTTAAGGGAGAGAATCTTAGGCATCAATAAAACACTACTTTAAACTCCCCAATTTCTCTTTCACTGAAGAATGAAAGCTTAAATATACTGTGACATGGTTTTAAATATAAACAGGAAATTTTATCACTGTCTTATATATGAACCACTCTTATGCGTGTCATAGTTAATAGAATACACATTCTTATGTGTATTATAGGTAAGCAGAACTGTGCTTCGATGATACAGTCAACCAAACAGTGACAAACATAAGCAAGAGGTAGATTCATAGTTTAGAAAGTACTCCATGTCATATCCCTCCCTCCCCAACAAACTCATAAGCTAAACTTCTGTTAAATAGAGTTATAGCCAATAAGAAGCATATCACCTGTCTAGGGGTTTTTAAACACAGAAAAACAAAAAATAGTTTCTGTTCAAGGATCCAAATTTAAGTCACATCAGTTGCTTCTATGAGATGCAAAGAAATGAGAACTTTTCATTCACTTGCAAAGGTCAAAGTTTTTCAAAAGAGAAAATTTTCATTCTCAACAAGGAAGAAACCCATGTAAATCCGGAAACCAAAACTGTGAATTTTCTTCATAATTAGAAAAGTTAATGTATGAATGATTTTAAGATACAAGAGTACTTACTATAAGCTGTTCTTCCTTTTCCCCAGTCTCTTTAATTATTATTTCAATCTCCTGATTCAATCCTTCCACACTATTCCGGAACCGGGAGCCTGTTGATTTGGTGATGGGAATTACTGGAATAAGTGCACTCTTTGGAACAGGAGCCTTAAGAAAAAGTGGTGGAGGCGGGAGAAGATACACTTAATACTACCTTTAAGTTCTCTAGATGGAAGCATACTTCCATTTGACATGGTTAACTCTAAAATAAATCAAAATAAAATTTATAGGCCTCACAAAAACTGTGAATAACCAAACCTGCTCCTTGGTATACATGAAATATAATTTAAAGCCAAAACCCCAGACAATCAAGGGAGAATTTCAGAAGTTTATTCACATCTGTGAGGGACTATAAAGGGTACAGAGATAAAGGAAAATACTAACAGAATGTTAACCTCAGATATTCCTTTATAACAGAGTTCAGGTTTCAGAACATAATTTTATAGTCCTCTAGTGCCATAATTATATATATTCCAGGAAATAAACAACAAACAGTAATTTATCAAAAAAAAAGAAAAAATATTTTGGTGGAAAAATAAAATCACTTCCAAAGTCCATACACAGTAGCAAGATTACAGAATAACTTCCCTGTGAAATTTATTTGTACTGTCATTGCAATGATATTAATATGTTTTGTTCCAAAGCCTATCTCTAATTTTTTTTTAAAAAATTTCCCACTGGCACAGTATTACTTTTGAAAAGAAATATCTGATTATATTACAGGATGTCACTTGGTTTCCTGACAAATACTCAAAATAAAATATGAAACAAGAATTGCGAGGTATCTGCCAAAGTTCATAGCAACAGTGTGCCAGAAGATCATCTTGTATTGTCCTGCTGTCTGGTAAAGAAATGTGATTAATCCATCCTTCATTTATGGAGGTTTCTTTGGAAAACCTCTCTCTAAGAGAAAAGTGGAGGCAAGGAAACAAAGGTAGTAACAGGGCCTCTAATCAGTTACCACTAGTTTCATTTGATAACCTTGTTGTCTGACACAGAACTTAATGTTAAACCTGTATTGCTCCTTTTTTATTCCTGCACACCTTTGTAATTAAAAAAGAGAGGGGGGGGGAGAGAGAAGCACAACACAAAAATCCTGGGAAACCAAAGCAAGACATTTGTTAGAAAAAAAGTCAAAGGGAAATCAAAGGGAAAGCTTCAATCTGGAGTGCTGAGGCAGCACTTCTTCATTGCTTAGTTATGTTGGGCCCCAGTCTCACCTTCCTCACGTGTAATATGAGAACACAGCACTCCACCTCAGAGAGTCGTTCTGAGAATGAAAGGAGAGGACAGGGGTGCAGTGCCTGGCCCAGAACGGATGGATCCTCAGTAAACAACAGCTACAATTTTTATTTTGTATTTTCCCTATTATGAATTTGTGTTTTCCCTATTTTATTCTTGTCTTTTCACAAATTTTTTCAAGTACCATTTATTTTCTTCTACATATGGAATCTTCTAACTTTCCCGCTTTTCAATCCTTCTGTTCCCCAGTCTTCTCCCCATACCCTCAAGCTTCTGATATTACTTATTTCCTTCTCACTTCCATCTCTTCTTTCTGTCCCATCTTCTAGTCTCAGTATCCACTATCAAAGGAAGGAATATGACAAATCTTAAGTTTAGATATTCTATAGGTGTATTATAGAGAAAATTTATATAATTAAATTTTTTTCAAGTCCACATCTTTGAGTCATTCTCTACATGGTAGATCTTTGGGGCTCTGATATACCATTTCCAAAATTGTTTGTTGAGGAAATCTTTGCCATGTCAATATGTCTATTCTCTTGGTCTACTTCCTTTTCTCTGAAAACTTGCCCTGCTTAGACGCCTTCAGATTCCATGAATGGTAACAACTCTCCACCCAACTTGGCAGGTGGCTAAAGCACAACAGCATCATAGATCAAGTACCGGTTGGAAAATAAAACCTGAACTCAATGACACTCTATACTTAACAAAATTTAAGTTTCACATAACCTCGCGTCAGCTAAACTATAAATTCCAAGTAACAAAGAGTGGCCTATAAGAACAATGAGATTTTTAAAAGGTGAATGGGAGAATTATTTTGCAAATTTACAAACAGAAAATCATGGGAGTAAAACTTGATTAAAACTATTCATATAGGTCTTCAAAGGTTTAGCTCTCATATTTCTTTTGATTCCCTCTTTCTTCAAATAAAAACATAAATACTGCTTATATGGGAAATGAATCTGAGAAAAAAAGAGTGGATATATGCATACATATAACTGATTCACTTGCTGTACACCTGAAACTAACACAACAGTATAAATCAACTATACTCCAATAAAAAATTTTAAAACACCAAAACACAAATACTATGTTCAGGGGAAAAAAAGCAACTAACTTCTCAGCATTTTCTGTTCTACCTATTGGAACAAAGTCTCATCTATCCCAAATATTTCACAAAAGTGGAGTTAAAGAACACTCTTCCTTTATCTCTGAAAGTTTATCTGACCAAAAGCCAATATATACATATGCAACACACACACATTTATATTTCACACACAAAAGAAGACTATTCTTCCAAAATGTCTAGAGTAAAAAGCTATACTTGGGTAGAGGAATCGCAGGTGATATATTTTTCTTTTAGATTATTTTTCTACAACCAACCTGAGAGGAGAAACTATGTCTTACTCATCTCCTTATTGCCACTGCCTAACAGAATCTAGAACAGACGTGATGCTTTATTCGACAAGGCTGGTGTTATGAATTGAACATCTGTATCCCCCTAAAATTCACATATTGAAGCCCTAACCCCCAATGTGGCTACATTTGGAGATGGGGGCTGTAAGGAAGTAATTAAGGTTAAATGAGGTCATAAGAATAGGGCCCTGATCCAACAGAATTGGTGTCCTTGTAAGAAAAGACACAGGAGAGCTCACTCACTTGTGCTCTTCTTCCTCTCCCCCTCCACACACATGCACCAAGGAAAGGCCATCTGAGCACATGAGAGGGCAGCCATCTGCAGCCCAAGGGGACATCTCACACCAGACACTAACCCTGCTGGCACCTTGATCTTGGACTTCCAGTCTCCAGAGCCATGAGAAAATTAATTTCTGTTGTTTAAGCCACTCGAGCTTATGGTATTTCGCTATGGTAGCCCATGCTGACTGATACACTCACCCTTAGTTTTATTCTTCATTTTTAGTTTTCAACAGTCTAAAGAGACTACTTAAACATAATCCTGAGATACAGTAGCTTGAGAGAACCTGAATATGGCCATAAAAACTTTACTCTGAGACACTATTTTTAAATGGCATTGTTTTCTTTATTGCAAAAGTAATAAGTACTCACTGAAGAAAAATAAATGGGACTGTTACTAATTTGATTAAACATCCTTCTGCCTAGCCCTTTTCTTCTGTGCATAGACACTTTTAACCAGAAATAGATTGTAACTTGTGCTTTGTAACTTATTTTTTTAATTCTTATTTCCCTAATTTTACTTCCCAATTCCCTAATTCCTATTTCCTTCTATGCTTTAAAACTCTTATTTACCAAATCATTTTTATAGCTGCATAGTATTTCATTGTATAAGTATGAAGAAGTCAGTGTGCTGTTATTGGCCAAACAGTTTCCAATTTTTCACTATTCAAAAAAAATACTGGCAATTCCCTGGTGGTCCGGTGGTTAGGACTCTGCGCTTTCACTGCCAACAGCTTGGGTTCAATCCCTGGTCAGGGAACTAAGATTTCGCAAGCCACGCGGCCCAGCCAAAAATAAAAAAAGAAAACAAAAAAATTCCTGCCATAAACATCCTCTTAGATGAGTACTTGCACACATATGTAAATACTTCCTTAGGATACAATCCTGGAAGGACTAATAGCTCAAAATGCAAGAAAAATTTTCAGGATTTTGATTCATATTGCCAAACTGAACAGCAAAATATTTTTACTCCTTACAATATCTGCACCTCCATGTTCATTACCACATTTATAATATTTACAATAACTATGACATGGAAACAACCTATGTCTGTTGATGAATGAATGGATAAAGAAAATGTGGTACACACATAAACGATGAAATATTATTCAGCCATAAAAGAAATCCTGCCATTTGCGACAACATGGATGGACCTTGAGAGCATTATGCTAAGTGAAATAAGTCAGACAAATACTGTATACTGTATGTTCTCACTTATATGAGGAATCTAAAAAAAACCACAAACTCAAAAAATAAATTAAAAAAATTTTTAAATAAAAATAAAAGTAAACCAAACTCATAGAAAGAGAAGTAGATTGGTGGTTGCCAGGGGCAGACGGGTGGAGGAAATGGGTAAAGACAGTTAAGAATACAAACTTCCAATTACAAGATGAATATGTTCTGGGGATCTAATGTACAGCATGGTAACTATAGTTAACAACACAGTATTATATACTTGGAAGTTGCTAAGAGAGTAGATCTTAAAAGTTCTCACCAGAAAAGAAAAAACAGGTAACTACATGAGGTGATGGGTGTCTTAACTAATCTTACTGTGGTAATAATTTCACAATATATACATATACCAAGTCATCACATTGTATATCTTAAATACACAATGTTATGTGTCAATTATATTTCTATAAAGCTGGGGAAAAAGGAAAAGAATGATACACGATTTCTTCAAAATTGCTTTTTAAAAAAATTTTGCCCTATGAACGACACTGTCAAAAGAATGAAATACTAATGCAGACTGGGAAAAAATATTTGTAACTCACATAGTCAACAAAGGACTTGTATTCAGAATATATAAAGATATCTCAAAACTCAGTAATTAGAAAACAAACAGCCTGATTTAAAAATGGGCAAAATATCTGAATGTACACTTCACCAAACATGATATACAGATGGCAAATAACCATATGAAAAGATGTTCACTAGGGTAATGCAAATTAATATCAAGATGCAATGTCACTACACATCTATTTCAATGGCTAAAATAAAAAATACTGACAATACCAAGTGCTGATGAGAAAGCAGAGCAAATGAGATTCTCAAACACTGCTGCTGGGAATGCACAATGGTACAACCATTCTGGAAAAGTTTTACAGTTTCTATTAAGTTCAAGATACAATTACTATATGAACAAGCAATCCCATTCCTGAGCATTTTCC